CGGGCCTTCTCAGCAGTGGCTCCTCGACTCTTGAACAGTCTTCCTCCAGAGATCTGCTTGGCACCCTCGTTGGGTGTTTTCAAGAGCCATCTTAAGACCTGGCTCTTCAGGCAGGCCTTCCCTCCCGTCAATACTCGATTCTTATTTTCTATTTTAATTGTCTTTCTATATTTCTCCATCTTGAATGATACTAACATCATTGATTTAAATTGCTGTTTTATTGTTTTATGATATTTTATTGTAAACCACCCAGAATAGACGTAGTCTAGACATGATGATATAGAGATAGCAAGAGTAAAGCTAAGTAATTGCATGGTATCCTCCATTTAATAAATAAATAAATAAATAAATTAACAAATATTTATACTGATGGCAGCAGTAGTCAAACAACATCTAGAGGGTCACATGTTCCTAATCCCTGATCTAGATGAAACACTTCATTTGTTGGTAGGTCACATATGGTTTCTAACATGCGCCAATAGCCGGAATCCTAATATACATTTCTGCTGATGTAACACCAGTGGCATAACTTTCAATCCCACACTTAGGAAGCCATAATAGGCATTTCTTATACTCAGAGTTATGCAATCGGTATCCAAACTAACAGGATTCCAACTTCATTACTGTTTCTAATAAAATGTATGTTTACCTGTAAATACCACTGTGGAGGAATGAAAGGGAGTTAGTACACCTACATACTCTTCTGTTTAATGTCGTTTATCATCACATATTCAGTTTGTTGATATATTTGATGTACAATTTTGAAACATACTAGCTTATGATGTTTTCATGTTAATTTTGGGCTGTAGAAGTAATCAACTGTTTTAAAAACGAGCAATAAAGGAGTAATTTCACCATAGGGGAAAAAAACAGACAACATAAATGGCATTTTTCTGAGAATATTATGATAATTCATATGACCATACTGTTAGTGTCATATCATTTTATTGGGATAGCAAAAATATTGTGCTGGAATGACAGACTTTTAGTCTTCAGGAACCCCATTAATATTAAGTAGTAAAGGCATATTACAGAGCAAATTGTAATTACAGAAACAGTGAAGTACAGAAACAGTGAAGTGTATTGCACAAGGATTTCACAAGGAAGCTTACAAAAGCATGCACCACTCACTACCCATTCTATGCACAAATGCAGGCAAGCAAATGCTTGTCTTTTTCATACACAAAATCCACTTTAGGAGGAGCCGTCTAGAAAAGGGAAGGGTATGCATAACCGTTTTCTCCATCTTCCATTTGTGTACTGTAAATCAGCTCCCTCAAGCTACTTCTTCAATATGGGCTTCCAAATCTATGACTGAGAGCTAAAAGTGAAGGCCACAGCTAGCGTGTTATTAAAAGAAAACATGGCAGTTTTTCAGCAGCACAGTCTCCTGTGAGATTTGTGTTTGAAGAATCAGAATGCAAACAAGTTCTTTGTTTATCTCCAGATGACCCATGGCAAAATAAACCAAGTCTAGCTGCAAACTAAGGAAGATCGGAAGAGCTTGTGCAATAACAATTCAATGGCTAAAATCCTGTTGCCAAAGAATAAGGCATTTCATTCATTCATTCATTCATTCATTCATTGCACTTATATGCCGCCCATCTAGACATTGTCTACTCTGGGCGGCTCACAACAGACAAGATAAAAACAGTTCATAATATATAGTAACAGTTTTACAGCAATATACAATGAAAAAAATAGTTCAAGATGGGAAGAAGAAAATTAAGTAGTGCCTGGAGGGAAGGCCTGTCTGAATAACCAGGTCTTAAGTTGTTTTTTAAAAATGCCCAATCAAGGCATTTCTCTTATTCCCTAAATTTTTTGCCCTAGGATGATTTTATCAGTGGTGGTGATTCTTTGAAATTAAAGACGTTTCTCCCATCCCATGGTCCCCAATGGCCTCCCCATAACAGAGAAATCCCAAGAGAACATTGGGACCATGGGGAACTAAGGAAGATTGGAAGAGCTTGTGCAATAAAATTCAATGGCTAAAATCCTGTTGCCAAAGAATAAGGCATTTCTCTTATTCCCTAATTTTTTTGCCCTAGGATGATTTTACCAGTGGTGGTGATTCTTTGAAATTAAAGACGTTTCTCCCATCCTATGGTCCCCAATGGCTTCCCCATAACAGAGAAATCCCAAGAGAACATTGGGACCATGGGGGAAAGGAGGAATTACAAATATTTCATTTTGGAAAAACCAGTATGGCTGATGGCATCACCAGCTTATGTGGTGTAAGTTTCACTATTAGATTTCAGCCAATGGCTTTGAACACTTGAGAAACTGAGGCAGGGGTGGGCAAAATGTGGCCCTCCAGATGTTGTTGAACTGCAACTCCCATAATTCCTAGCCCACACAGCCAATAGTGAGGAGAGTTGGGCCTAGCCCACGCAGCCAGTAGTGAGGAGAGTTGGGCCTAGCTCACGCAGCCAGTAGTGAGGAGAGTTGGGCCTAGCCCACACAGTCAGTATTGAGGAGAGTTGGGGCTAGCTCACGCAGCCAGTAGTGAGGAGAGTTGGGCCTAGCCCACACAGTCAGTATTGAGGAGAGTTGGGGCTAGCTCACGCAGCCAGTAGTGAGGAGAGTTGGGCCTAGCCCATACAGCCAGTAGTGAGGAGAGTTGGGCTTAGCCCACACAGTGAGGAATGTTGGGATTTGCAGTTCAGCAACATCTGGAGGGCCGCACTTTGCCCAGGTCTGAAATGAGGGGACAATCAGACAAGCATATAGCTTGTTGGTTCACTTTTGTTGTGGTTTGGCTCTCCCTATTATCTGGCAACCACATGTGTTTTAAGTAAGAGTGACCCATCCCACCCCTTTTGCAAGCTGTTCCCCTCCTTTCTGGCACAGACCTAGGGCTGCACTTTATTTTGTGGGATTGGAAGTGTGCCTGATTATCTTGGCATTGTTCTGGCTCCGCTCCTTCTTGGAGGACCGTCCCCAGAGAGTTCAGCTTGGGGTAAATAAATAAATAAATAAATATTCTGCAGTGTGTATAGTTGCTTAATTCACTCCCATATAGAGTTGTGGGCAACATTCTCTTTGGTGAGAATCCTGTGACATATCCATTGGGTTGTGACAGTAAAAAGGACAGCAGAGAAACTCCCTCCCCTATTTTCCTCTTCTTAATTTTTTAAAAAAATATTATCCTAAGTGGGACAAGACTACTTCAGAGATAAAGGAGTATCTATGCTAGGTTGATATATTACTGTAGCACTGTGCAATTTACTAAATTAAACTTAAAAAAAGGGTGGAAGTTGTTGCAGCCCACAGAATGATAGCCACAAAAAAAGGCAGAGAAAGTGGGGAGGGTCATCAAAAATAGAAACAGGGAGAAATCAGTGCTGCCTAGAACTTCCACATGGAAGAAGAAACATCTGTGTGAATGAAAAGATTGCTCATGTGCAAGATAAAATACATCACACTGAAGATAAGAGTCTTTTAAACACAACCCAGATTGCTCCTAATTCCCCTATGTAGTTCTACTCTGAGTTTCCTACAGCATAGAATTTAATCATAAAATGTGGGCAGGACCTGGAGTGATTAAATGGTGGGTTCACACTGAAGATAAGAGTCTTTTAAATGCAACCCAGATTGCTCCTAATTCCCCCATGTAGTTGTTCTCTGAGTTTCCTACAGCATATAATTTAATCATAAAATGTGGGCTGGACCTGGAGTGATTAAATGGTGGGCGAATAAAGATTTAGCTACCACTCCTCATCTAATTTTCTTTTCAAAATCATTCCTTCCCCACAAAAGGAATCTCTTCCTGGGAAAAAAGACCTATGTGATGGCAAAACCATCTCAAAATATGAAACAAATGTATATGTACAGTTAGCTGTCTGTCCAAAATCTTGAATTCATTTTGCAAAAATGTTTGCCACCACTGTTCTATGATCACATTGGGTATAAAATAACTTTCCATTTTGAATCTGAAATGCACTGCTGAAAAAAAAATGCAGGCATACATACATAAATACCTTACGTTGGACCTAACAGAGGTTAATCAAGCTGCAATACAACTGAAATCATTTTCCAAAGAAGTAGCCACCTTAGACAGTTTCAGCATGTTGGCAAAAATACTATAAAGATAGAAAAGGAAAGGAGAACTAAAAATACAGTAGCATTTTAAAAACTAACAGATGTATTTCAGTGTGAGCTTTCATGGATCAAAATCCACTTCTTCAGACACAAAAGGTGCAAGTACATCTTCACTATATTATTTCCATGATAGTAGGATTCATGTCCAGATGAGAATACAGATAATAGACAAAGTCACAAGGGTTTGTTAAGACAGGAACGGGACTATCAAGCTCTTAATTAGCAGAAGCTCGCCTGGGTTATTAGACAGGCAGACTTGGCTGTCATAGGAATGCTAAGAGATGTGTCTGGGACAGAAGTCAGTGTCTGTAAAGGAAGATGACTATTTTTATGTTGCCTAATATTATTGTATACAATATTTATACATATTTTATATTCTCTATTCTTTACTAGTTATTTTATTTTTAGAAATGATGTTTCTTGGTTGTTGTTCATGTGGTTTTTATTGAAGCTTTTTGTATTTTGCATTGTTGTGATTTGTTTGCCACCCGGAGTAGTGGCTTCCCAATACCTGGTTACAATCAATCAATCAATCAATCAATCAATCAATCAATCAATCAATCAATCAATCAATCAATCAATCAATCAATCAATCAATCAATCAATCAATCAATCAATATTACTGAAAACTGAATTATTAATGTAGGTAGTACACTAAGAAGTCTTGATCCCTACTGAAGCCCTTAGAGATGCACTGGAGTTTATGTAGCAATTTTTTTCTTATCATTGTAATCAATTTTCTGCAATCATTGTAATCTGTTGGTCATTACTACCTTATATGTTATCTTTGTCAAAATCTTTATTGTTCTAATTTTATTTAAAATTTCATTTAATGAACGTTAATGTTGATAGTAAGTAACCAAATGTTAAGGGGCATCAGTGTTGTCTTTCTGCTTTTATCCACATGTTTTCAACAGACTTTTTACTGAACAAACAAGACCAGCTAGGCTGCAAAAGATGCCCAGAATAAACACAGATACATCTGCACATTTCTCCAGGAACATTAACTTTTCCCATTTAAGTTTCAAGTGGAAAAGGGAAGGAAGGAGAAAGGTCATTGCGGCACCTAATACGTTGCCGGTTAAACCCATGAGAAGGGCAAAATGTGGTATAAACATAGCCATCAGTAGAGTTAACAAGAGGAGAGAACTTTTTAAAACCATAGCAAGCCAAGGAGATTTGAAACTGGTTTTGTGGCTTGGAGAGAAGTAAGTGTGCAAGATCTCTGTGACTGCAAAGAAGGGCAAAGGGTAAGACAGAAGCACCTTGGCTAAGAGGCACAGATTCACCAGGGTTTGTAAGAACGATGGAAGGTTGTCAGTAATAATCTCTTTAGTTTCTTCCCCCCATGTCAGGAATGCAGTCAGTGCTAAGGCTGTCTTGAAGACACAAGCCAAAGAATGAGTCCAGTTTAACATGGAGCTGCATTCACCAGGGTTCTGCATACTCCCTTCAAGGACAGGAAGAAATATCTGTGAAGTATAACTGAAAATAATCACTCCTACTGCAACCAGGAAGCTCTCAAATTCTACAGAGCGGCTAAACTTTGCCCATGTCCACCGGTGCGTTTGGGTCAGGCAATATGTTATCACTACAAAGATAATAACAAAGTGAACCAAGGAGCAGAGGAGACTGAGCCTGGATACAGATTTGAGGGTTTTGATAAACACACAAGGCAGCAGGCCCACAAATGCGATTACCGACCATGTTTTCTCTGTCACTGGTAGAGCTGGAAAGCTATGTGACAGCAAGTTCCCACTAACAACCAGATACAAAACACACGTCATGATCAGTTCTGTCGCCTGAGCCATGTTGACAACTCTGCCACCAAGTTTGGGAAATGGCTTTCCACAGCAGGCGTTAGCGATGTCTTCATATGTGCCTCTCACTCTTATGAGATGCCCATCTTCATTTTCTTCATACAGGCAGGCGATTAGAATTTTGCCGGTGTAGCAGCAGAAAACTGCAGCCAGGATAATAAGAAGCAGCCCACTGTATCCGCTGTGGAGGAGAGCATATGGCAAACCTAGAACAAAAATCCCCTGGAGACAGAAATAGAAAGAGAAATACAAAAACCCAGAAGAGAAATGTTCACTAGTCACAACCTGCTCATACCTGCAGCTGTCAACGGCTACCTTTTGCTAATTGCATGGAAGGATCAGGGTTACATTAACTTGTCTTTGTAAATAATAGTTGCCAGAAATGGGTATATTCATGATGAATGAAGTTAGCAGGAAAAATAATTGCTGGCAGGAGTACACCAATCCAGAGAAGCCAGGAAATTGAAGGCAAGCAAACAGGAGGGACAAGCTTCTATTAAATATTAAGTGCTGATGTGATTGCAGGCATGGCTTTTAAAGGCTCCGAAACAATAACTTTGTCTATGTGCATATTAATGTTCAATAGAGATTCAGTAATGTTGAAATCAAAGAGCTCTACCTGCCCCCATACATTTCCTGCACTTTTAGCAGCCATGTAGGGTAAATAAACATGGGGAGTAGGCCTCAAATCCTCTCATTTGTCTACCCCTGTGGTTTGTTTTCTTTTGGCATTCAGAGAAATAAATGAAGAAACTCTTCTTATGGACACAAGTCATAGGTAATGTGCAGATCCTTTGTGTTCCTCATCAGAACCAGGCCGTTGCTGTTTTTCACCTCCCCAAACCCACCAGCCTTTTGATTATGTACATTTGTGATATTTAAATTTTAAAAATGCAACAGGGGGTTCTGTGTAATATTAGAGCCTGCTAGTGCCCACTATGCCCTCCCCTGTTCTCTCTCTCTCTCTCTCTCTCTCTCTCTCTCTCTCTCTCTCTCTCTCTCTCTCTCTCTCTCTCTCTCTCACACACACACACACACACACACACACACACACACACACACACACACACACACACACACCAGGTTGAACTATTTGTCCATCTCACCCACTATGGCCTACTCTAACTGCCAGCAGCTTTCCAGGATCTCAGTTCTTTTACATCTTTTGCTATCTGATCATTTCCCACTGAGGAAGCCTGAGAGTGAACATGGATCTTTCTGCCTGCAACGGATACATGCTGTGACTGAAGAGTGCTTCTGTTTGGAGTGCCCTATTAAAAGAAATGAAAACTCTACCAGCAGTATCACCATTCCAAAGAAACTCAGAAATATTTGCAATAAATTTAAATAATCTTCTCCTGTCCTATCCTATCTTATCGTATCCTATCTATGACAAAAACAGATGGGTAGCCACACAAATGAAATTCTCAGATGTTTCATCCAATGGCATACATGTTTTGTTAGTTCTATTGCCACTTGATGCACATGAGTACAAAAACCCTTAAACAATGGCTGGGCTTTAAAATGGAGAGAGGCCCAGTTTCAGATAAATATTTCTCACTGACATTTCTCATTTATATATAGCAAAAATATGCCATGGATATCAGTCACACTCGTGTCTGTGTTTTTCAGTTCATGGAAAATAATTAAAAGAAAGAAAAAGAAGAGAACATTATTTACATGGATAAGTTATCCTAATTAGATTAGTGTTTCTACTACAGTAGAAAAGGTACAAAAACAAGAAAGTAATTTTTAACATCCTACCCCTGTCAAAAATCATTTCTTCTCCATTTTAAGAGCCCCACTAGCCTTGGACAGGGAGAGAACGTAGTGATGTTTTCCTTGGATCTGGAAGTAGAAGACCACATGATTTTGGATTGACCCAGGATTGGATTTGCTTGCGGTGAGCTTTCTCCTAATCATTTTAAGAACCCTATCAGTTTAGTAGGATAGGGATCACAGGTAAAAAGGAAGACATTTCACCCTGACCCAGAAGCTGAAGACTTCATCTCCTTTTAGTGGTCTATGGGTGGTGATGAACTTCTCTTTTTACCTCTATCATCAAAGTCAAAGTGAAACTTGTGTTCTGTGCCAAAAATGCAGGACCAAAATACTGGCGCTGTCATATGTTCCTTTGACATAAACAGAAATGGAAGTGCAAAAGTAAGTTGAATTGTTGAAAGGGGCTTGGGACACTGTGTTTGCTGCATAAGAACAGTGGCACTAATTTGGAAGTTTTGTATGAGTTATATGGTCTACAAGATGAATCTGAAAAAGACATGAGATTATATCACTACAATATGAATCTGAGAAAGAGAAGGCATATTTATTGGGTTTGTTTAGAGCTCAAGATAGTCATCTTTGTCACCTTCTAGTGTCTTTTAGTCCCCATATTCCAGTTTTGCTCTTTGTGACTCTGAGGTATTAAATACAATAATAATCCATTTATTATTGAAGCAACTGCAAGAAGTAACTAAAAATCCATTTAGTTTTATGTGTATTTATGGTCAGTTTAGTGTTTCCTTGATGGAACAATTAATCTATGGTTTTACTAAAAAGAACAAAGATGTCCTGTTGTCCTAGCCAGGTCCAGAGTCCAGTAAGTGGTGGCTGGGGATACGGGTTTCCACATTACACCATGATTTTTTTTTGTCTTGCACAGGTAAGCAGTATAGTTGCTTTCTGACCTTGTATGTGAATCTTGTATTGGAATCTACAAACAAATCATGGAAGAGAAGGATGTCCTTCCTGACTGCAGTGCCCATCAACCCTACCGGATATACTTAATAGTGAAGTCTGATGGACATATTATTTCAAACCTTCTAAAGGACACATTCCCCATCCCGGGTTAGGTCAGTTCTCTTGATAGTAGAGATAGTATTGGGCCTGATATTGACAACTGGCAGGTTTTTGTGGGGGGGTATTTCAACTTTAATGCCAAGGACTCCTTGACAGGCGCAGCTCAGGAATTCATAGACATCACAACAACCTAGGGATTATTCTGTATTAAAATAGGACCCAGGTGTATGGATAATTTCATATTCCATTTCCTCCTCTCTTTTTTGCACTATGTGGAATGCAAATGGATTGATAAAAGAGGCACAACACTTACCTTTACCATGGCTGGGCTTCCTAAAGAAACTGTAGTTGGAGGTGCTTATTAATGTGGCTCTGTTAGAATACAGTATAGAGATACCAGACATAAGTGTTTCAATGATCCATCGGATTTGTGGAATGGGTAGTTATGTGGGAAAATTCACAGAAGACCCTACCTCTTCAGCATTCAGAGGAAAAGAAACGTGTGAGGCATAGAAGAAGACAGTCGGAGGACTCTCAGATGGCCAATATTTTACCTTGCCAAGCATGTCATAGAGATTATGTATGGGTCTCTGAGAAAGCAGAGATAGTGACAAGGAAAGCTTTCCTCTTCCTTCCTGTTGCACAAGCTCAGATCTTCAAGGATCTTTATGTCTAAGCAAAGACCCACAGCATACTATGACCATTTCCCTTCACATTTCAACTGATATTCATCTGCTTTGCTTGAAAAAGTGTAATAGAGTTTAGAGCAGAAGTATCTGAAGCAGCCACTTGTTGCAGTTGCTTAGAGAACGTTGCCCTTGGGAATATTTTTAAGAGCTCTTTGTGCTGTGCCGGCAGTTCCTGTTGATTAAATTCTTGTCCACCATAGATAGTCAAGGCCAGTCAATTTGAACTTAAAGGTCTGCTGGGCAACTTAGGAAATACTTCACTGTAAAAGGGGAGAAAGAGGAGCATATTTGTTAAAAGAGGCAGTGAGTGTCCCACTCTTGGAAAATCCATCTTTAGAGAGAAGCAATTGAACTGCCTTTAGACATGCTCAAATAACCTGTTTTGCCAAAACACCTATTGCATGAGTGGGGAAGACCAATAACTGGTCTGATCTTGCTAAATGCTAGGCGGCATATCAACTCATTCCACTGCACCTGAGCCAGCCCTAGGATACATGGCACTGTGGGTGAAAAGAGTCTTTACCATGTCCATCAATTTTACAGGGCTACCCAGAGGGTTTGAGTGGGTATAGTGCTATAGGTGCTGCTGCTGCCCCCTCTCACATACAGCTCCTTCTCAGCCACATTTCATGCAGTAGTACTGTTTCATTGTTTCTCACATGGGGATAAAAGAATAAGGTTCAGATTATGCTTTTCCAAATTACAGGTGTAAATTTCAATTGTTGGAGCTTTTTTCTGCTTTCTGGAGGACAGGTGTTCTGGTTGTGGCCTGCAACTAGCCTTCTCTCCTACCACTCAGGAAGAATTCCTCTTTGAAGGCTTAGCCTCATATCACTGCAGCAATTTTCCTTGAGGTAACTGCTAGAGATGGGGGTATTTGTATTTGTATACGAATATGAATGTCCCTGCACAGGTGGAAATAACGAGGGTCTGTCCACTCATGATTTTGCCGCTGTTGCCGGCTCCTCAGAGCCTTCCTATCATGCCATTCTCCGCAATGGATTAGCCACTCTGCAACCTAGCAGAGAGGCTTGTCATCCTTCCTCCTGCCAGGAGTGGGTAATTGATTGTGGACAACGACACAATAGGAAGGCTCTATGGAGCCAGCGGCAGCAGCGAAATCATGAGTGGACAGTCCTCGTTATTTCCACCTGTGCGGGGATATTCGTATTCGTAGATGAATACCCCCATCTCTAGTAACTACCAAATAAAATTACTCTCCAGTGTCACCTGTTTCAAAACCTTAGAAGGCATTCACTTACTCACTCACTTTTTGACTCTTTCCTGGAAGTTGTACAGTGACAACAGGTAACCTATTCTCCTTAACACCCTCCCTGTTTCTTTTCTCCTTACAGTAAACTCTGTAACGGTGGCTACCGGGCCTGGGCCAGTTGTAAACCTGACTGTCCAGTCTTATCTCTATTGCTTAAACAGACACAAAGAAAGAATTTTACCTCACATTGATAAGTTTAAACTTTCTCACTCTTCGAAAGCAAGCCCAGTTAATAAGCAGCTTCCCCTGTAGCTTCCAGACTCCCATGCTATTTTACAATCAAACTAAATTTGACCAGATGAACAAAAATAAATCATTTTATTATAATTTCACCCAACTGAATGCAAGCTTTAAGAGAAAATTTAGAAATTTAAAATTTAGCCCACCCGACTAATGGTTGCTACCAGGTGGTGTAAAACATAAAATATATATAACAATATGAGCATGCTCTGGGGATGGGC